AAGGTGAGTAAAGCACTTGGGCTCTCAAAGAGTTGAGTCCTGTTATTTCTAAGCCATTGTTTCTAAATTTTCAAGAAACTTTAATGACTGGTGTAGTATCTCTGGATTAACATAACGCCAATGTGGTGCCTACATTTAAAAAAGGAACAAAGTCTCTAACAAGCAACTATGGACCAGCTAGTTTAACCTCTAGAGTTGGAAAGATACTTCAGTGTTTAAAAAAAGACCACATAGAAGAGTATTAGAAAATAGAAAATAATACTTTAAGCAATAGTCAGCATGGATTCACAAAAGACTGAAGTTATCAAACAAATCTGCTTTCTTTTTATGAGGAAGTAAGCAAAAACTTCGACAAAGGAGCGGTTATGGATATAATAAACTTGGATTTTGCAAAAGAGTTTGACACAGTTCCCATGCATGGCTAATGTGTAAAGTAAACTCTACAGACTTAGAAAATTCAGTTTGTAAATGGATTTAAAAAAAAACCTGGCTAAGAGACCGTATTTAGAGAGTAGTGATTAACACTACCAATTTTGCGATTTCTTGGTGGTATGACCTATAGCCAACACTGGCTTGTGTTTAATGTGCCGTTTATGTATGGAGCTTTGATTTCTAGAAATGTAAGGTCATTGAACAGTGATCTGAAAGTGGTTTTATTGGTGAATGAAGTCCCGCTGCATCATAAAAACATGCTTGAATGCTCTTAGAGTCAACACTGTACCTGTGCAGCGTCACCTGTTGTCTATCTGCTGGCCGAGGAACTGCTCACATTACATGATGAAAATATGCTAACTTCGTGAGATCGGGATGGTCTGAAGAGCTTTTGATCATACATGTGGTCTGACTTGAGGTACATGAGTCTGGATTGGAAGTGTTGTAATAAGCCGTATGTTGACCCCCTATAGTCAAGGGGTCGAAGGATCTGGTAAGCCTCCAATTTGTCATCATAGTGGTGCAGTGTTCATGCTGATGGTTATATAAGTTAGAATGAAGAATTGGGATTATTCATCACAAAAGGGAATGTTATATGTACCCCCATAGGGACTGTCACATATATGATAATTATTTTGTACTTTAATTTTTTATACTGATTTACCATTGAGCACTTAATTCACTATTTACATTTGTATATTTATGTATTTTTTGTGCATACTATTTATATCACTTTGATTAATCATGCTTTATTGTTTTTTTCTTTTTTCCTCTGGATTAACCGTGGATATTGGAAAGTGTATATGGGCTTTCTATTGTTTTTTCCTCTATTGACCGAACTAGGTGGAGTTGTATCTTTTTTCAACCGGACTATGAACTATGACAGTAATCATGAAACTGAAACTAGCAAAAAAGAGGGACCACTGGGACTGCCAAGAATTCAGGTGGTTGGCTGTCTTAATATATTCCAATGTTTTTGTTATCTATGTAGATCGCAATGAATGGTGAGCCTCCACCAGCTAATGACGGCACTCTATGTGTCCTAGTGGTGACCAGGCTGGGACTGGCCATAGGGCATATAGGGCATTTGCTCGGTAAGCCAGAGCTGCCTGGATAGGAGGGGCGGCCGGGTGGCAGATAGAGGACAACACATTTCTCACTTGCCACCACTAAATGCCTGCTTCTCCTCCTCTCCCTCCTGCAGGCACTCAGTGGCGGCAGGTGAGAAATGCACGGTCTAGTTCCTCTATGTGCTGCCCGTATGACACTCGTATGCATGCCCTGCTTCTGTGGGCTCCTGTATGCTCTCCCCATGGCAGCCCCCCTCATCTCCTTCAGCACTGCCCCCAGGTTCCCCCTTTCCTGCAGCTGCTGCGGGGGATCTTTCAGGATAGACTGTCCCCAGTGCTGACAGTTCCTACACCACCACAGACAGGAGAGAGAAAGCTGGTTCTGCCCTCTCCTCCTGTGTCTGCCCTGCCCACACTCCCCAGCAGTCTTGTGTCTACTCTCCCTCTCTCTCTTTCTTTCTTTCTTTCTTTCTTTCTTTCTTTTTCTTTCTTTTTTTCTTTCTCTTTTTCTTTCTTTTCTTTCTTTCTTTCTTTCTTTCTTTTTCTTTCTTTCTTTCTTTCTCTCTCTCTCTCTCTCTCTCTCTCTCTCTTTCTTTCTCTTTCTTTCTTTTTTCTTTCTTTTTCTTTCTCTCTCTCTTCTTTCTTTCCCTCCCTCTCACCAAAGCCCCCCAATGGGGCTTCTACAAAAAAATGTAAAAAAAAATAATAAAATATAAAATTGTAAAAAATAAAAACCTACTGTCACTAGTGGTGGAACTACCAGGGTTGCAAAGGTCCCTTTTGCCCTGGCGTTCCACCTCTGGACTCCAAGGAAAGTATCCTCGGGCTTGGGGCTCTTCAGTCCAAAATGCCCAGGCCTATTTTTTGTCCCAGTCCAGGCCAGGTGGGGACCTGCATCTATCCAGTGTGAAAAAACACAGGGTACAGCACATAGTGTGAATTAGCCCTTGATGTGTTACAGATTTGTGTACTATATTGTATATTAGAGTATAGCATTATTTATGTAAGAAAACAACACAAATTAGTTCATTTCAGGTATTATTGAAACACAGTTTATGTTCAAATGTGTTTATTTATATTTATATATGGGCAAATTACAGACATAAGCACCAATAGTAAGGCCTGGTTAACACCAATGCAATTTGTGTCTTGCCCTTTCCTGCGGTGCTTTTTGTGGTGCATTTTGCGTTTTTTCACACAGATTAAAAATGCAAAATGCATCTACGTGCGTTTTCTGCACCATCTCCAGTGAAGTCTATTGAACCAAAAATGCAACATTTTTAAGTTTAAAAAAGTCCCTGACCCTTCCAAAAAAAACCAGCAGCTCAAAAATACATAGATGTGACTGTGTCCCATAGGAAACCATGTTAAGTGGATTCTAATGAGTTTTCTGCAAAAAGCACTAAAAGCACATTGGTGCAGGGGCGGACTGACAACTAATGTGGCCCCAGGCAATAGGGGATCATGGGGCCCCTGTGTCCTTCCCCAAACTCAAAAAAACCTCTGAAAAAGGTACCAGGGGCATCTCATGGGGTCCCCTACTGACCCCGGGCCCTCGGGCAGTGCCCGAGTTTCCAAATGGTCAGTCCACCCCTGCATTGGTGTGAACTAGGCCTTATTCTGTGATCAAAGACACAGATCTTCTCCAAAGTCATCTTTGTTCAAATGACATCTCAACCTCTTGACTATGACTGCTTGCTTTTTGTATCGAGCTACAACCTATTTGTTGCCCCCCTTTGGTGTCAAAGAGTCCATTGCATTCATCATCAATATCATTCTCGTGCACAGAATAGCTTTACATTTAGTGATGTCCAGGGGCAGACTGACCATTTGGAAACTCAGGCACTGCCCGAGGGCCCTGGGTCAGTAGGGGGCCCCATGTGATGCCCCTGGTACCTTTTTCATAGGCTATTTTGAGTTTGGGCAAGGACACAGGGGCCCCATGATCCCCTATTGCCCAGGGGCCCCATGAGTTGTCAGTCCGCCCCTGGTGATGTCACACTTTTTTGTTAACATTATAAACGGAAATAAGGTTATTAAAACATGACTACTTGCTGACAAGGTATCACTAAACCGGTCACAATCACCTATTTCTATACTTATGATTAACAAGCTTGCAACACTGGCTGTGTGAAATTCCGGAAACATTACACTGTCATTTCCTATGTAGAGAAAAAAATCTTGTACTAGCTTCTTACATTTCATATCATCCAAAGCATACATATTTTTAGTAATGAACAACTTTATTTTAGCATTTGACACAGGCCAGATACACTTGTTAAAGCCTGCCAAGGGCGCAACAGCAGAAAAATAATTCTTCCTCCTGGAAAAGAACGTTTTGGCATATAAGGAAGAAGTAAACACTGTTTCTATCAAAGGACGTGTCTGGTCTGGCCTTTGCAAAGTGTTGTAAATATATAGTTAGCAGGACCAGCCTCTTCCATCAGCTATGTATCTTATGCAGATGCTTAAATTGAGACATAAGTGTCTTGGTTTGATTAGATTCACGTAAGCCTCCAAGATACTACTTGAGTGTTCATTTTCTCAGTGCCAACAGCAGTTGTATTGACTAATCAAATATACAACCTATCAAATTATAAAACATATAAGGGGGAGGTCCAAGATACTTGTTTATGTCTGGCAGACCCTACCCAGTTATGGATCTAACACAATGACACCTGCATTCCTAACAATATTTCAAAATGAAAAGGGAACACATCCACAAGCCATAGGAAACTTGTGCTGGGACAAATATCGAAACTTCTGTTGCCAACAAAAAAAATAAGACATACTGTACTTAGTTTTTGTTTTTATTCTTTTACAAAGATAAGATATTTGGCTTAGTGGTCACTGTAACATAATTTTGGGTCTCACCAAGGTTCAGCAGGGGCAGTTGGCAGGGACAGTTTGAAGAGGGACATGCAGAGGGCTTTATGTAATTTCCTGTTCACACAGATGCTTCCTGCAATACAACAGTCAGCGTGAGTGATAGCTCTTAGGAGTCTGACGTGGAATAGAGTGAATAGAGACTGACATAGATAGGCAGACTTGGCTGGGAATAGGCACAGCATGGCAGAGCTGATCTGAGAGATATGGAAAACAACACACCAGTATGTACATAAGGGATGCTTATACTTCAGGCAGGAGTGATATAGTGATGTTAGTACTGCCTGGTTAGAACCACAAAGGGGCAGCGAGGTGATTGGTCAGATGGCATTTCCAGTTGTGTTAAAAATTTTGCACACCCTTGGAGAATTGGTAAAGTACGTACCATTTTTAAAGAAAACATGAGTGATCAGGCAAAACACGTTTCCTTTTTTTTTTATGTGATTCATATTCAAATGTAGGTCATAACAGAATGTCACAATCATAAAACAAAATATGGCAACAAGTAAACAAGTGTTCAAAAGTCTGCATATCCTTAGTTCTTAACCACCTCCCGTCCGGCCGTTGTATATAAACGGCCGGACGGTGGCACTGCAGGGTTGGGTGGCCATCTATAAACGGCCTCCCCGCACCCTGCTTGTGCGCGCTACGGACACAGTGAAACACCAATCGTCGGACGGGACCTCTGTACGAGGTCCCGATCATGTGATCACTGATTGGCCAATCAGTGATCACATGCAAAGTAGTAAGCAAGATGTCACTTCTGACATCATTGCTTACTACGTGTGAAATCTGTGAATGATCACAGAGGTCACATGGTACAAGGCTATTCACAAAAGCCTTACCATGTGACAAGCTTTGACCAATCACAGCTCACTCAGTACTTCTCAATGAGTGGAAGAATGCACACAGAGAGAAAGAGAAATGATTGCTTTTACATCCTATATGGGTGTAAAAGCAATCAGTGTAAAAAAAAAAAAATCTTCATCACCCCCCACAAGTAGTACAGTGTCACCATGGTGACACTGTACTGCTAGGGTGACAGTATGTAAAAAAAAAAAATAAAAAAAAAAAAAATAATAATATAAAAAAATAAAATAAAAATGTTTAAAAATTATCATTTTTGCTTATAAACTAATTTGGATTTTTTTTTTTACTAAAAAGATGACGGAATAAAATTTTGGCTAAGATTTATGATGAAATATTATTTATTTGCAAAATTTTATTAAAAAAACACTTTTTTTCAAAATTTTTGGACATTTCATTTACATAGCAAAAAAAAATAAATCCCAGTGGTGAAATAAATACCACCAAAATAAAGCTTTATCTGTCTCAAAAAAATGGTAAAAAATTAATTTTGGGTACAGTGTTGCATGACCGCGCAATTGTCATTCAAAGTGTGATAGCGCTAAAAGCTGAAAATCCGGTCTGGAAGTGGTTAATACTGCCACCTTTAGCATCGATGACAGCGTGCAGTCTTTTTTAATAGTTGTCTATGAGGATCTGAATTCTTGCAAGTGGTATAGCTGCCCATTTGTCTTGGCAAAATGCCTCCAGGTCATGCAGTCTTTGGTGCATGAACTGATCGTTTGAGATCTCCCCAGAGTGGCTCCGTGATATTACCCCTTCACGTAAAACAAATCTAAATGCCTAAGCACAATGTTTGCACCGTTGACATGTGTTAGTAAAACCGTAACATATCATCACAACTACTTTGTAAATCCAGGTGAATTATACCGTGATTTTTTTAGGACAAATTGGGCTTTCATTTGGTGGTAAATGGTAATGGATATCTCCTGATTTTTTTTTCTTATTATCAGAGGAAAACTGGCCCAAAATAGTAAAAAAAAAAATCTATTTTTTATTTAGCTGTGTGTTACTATCATAACCTACCACCAAAGAACAACCCAAAATAAATTCTCCAGCTCCTGACGATCACAGTGATACCATAATGTGTATGTTATTTGACGTTTGTACCCGTAGTACACCCCAGAAATAATAGTGTGCATTTTGTTTTTGTCTTTTTTTTTTTTTACCTAAAAACACACTGACATTGACACTGACACTGATACCAATTTTTTTAAATCCTGACCTTTGACTCCAACCTTTGACCATGACCTTTGACCTTGACCCAAACAATAACCCTGGCACTGAACTAGATCAAACTTTGATCTAGGTATTTTTTCTTTATTCTATTTTTTAATATTTATTTATTTATCTTCATTTTTTTTACAAACTTTTTTTTCTGTCTATGCCATGAGTTAGAGAGATACAATGTATCTCTCGTCTCCATTCATAGAGAAGAAAAAAACAAGAGGGCCGGGCTGCACAGTGACTGATCACTGTGATAGCCAGTCAGAGGCTATCACAGTGATATGTGACCCGGAATCAGGAGTCCCGGGTCCCGGCTCTTAGTGACACTGCAGTCTTTGTGCTGGGAGCAAGTGCGGCGCGCTCCCAGCACAAAGACAGGTACGCAAATATGCGGCCCCACGGAAAAAAGCCCAGTTCTGTGAGGCCGCATATTTGTGTGACATCAGCATCAAGGGGTTAAGGTCAGGAGACTGTTCTAGACTCCAGAACCTTCACCTTTTCTTCTGTAACCACTGGAGGGTCAACTTGGTCTTTGTGCTTAGAGTCATTGTCATGCTGGAAAATCTAAGAGCGTCTCATGCGCAGCTTTCTTGTAGAAGAATGCAAATTGTATGTCAGCATTTTCTGATAACATGCTGCATTCATCTTGCCATCATTTTTTACAAGATTCCACATGCCTTTAGAGCTCCCCCCAAAACATCAGTGAGCCACCAACACAGGGGCGGACTGACAACTCATGGGGCCCCCGGGCAAAAGGGGATCATGGGGCCCCTGTGTCCCTTGCCCAAACTCAAAAAAAGCCTATGAAAAAGGTACCAGGGGAATCTCATGGGGCCCCCTACTGACCCCGAGCCCTCGGGCAGTGCCCAAGTTTCCAAATGGTCAGTCCGCCCCTGCACCAACATGATTACAGTGGGAATAGTATTCTTGTCACTCTTAGCCTTGTTGTCTCCTCTCCAAACATAGTGCTTAGGGTTATGACTATAAAGCTCTATTTTGGTCTCTTACAGTGCACCAGAAAATGTGAGGCATGTCAGTATGTTGTTGGGCATATTGTATCCAGGCTTTTTTGTGGCATTGGTGCAGTGAAGGCTTCTTTCTGGTAACTCAACCATGCAGCTCATTTTTGTTCAAGTATCGTCATATTGTGCTCCTTGAACAAACCGTACTTCTTTTTTCCAGAGTAAATGAGGTTGCCTGTGGGTATTTGTAATCCCGAATAATTCTTCTACCAGATTTGTGGCTGCAACTGTTATATAGCTAAGCAGATGTCCTTTTATGTAACACTTTGCTCAAATGATTTCCTCTACAGGTTAAACATCATAAGGTGCTTACTTATACCTTGAATTGTTCAAAGGCTTTCCTGTGCAAATAATGTGCCCTTTTATTGCTGAATAGAGGCCTCCATTTTTCACATTCCAGGGCTTCTCTTTGTTAATACCCTTATGTTTGAGGTATTCTCGTTGGTTTGTGGATGACAAGGAATGGAAAATGTAGCGCTTCAAGTCAGGGTATGCCTAGGCCTCTGCAGGGTTTTTGGCAGGAACTTGGAGGCAACTTATGCCTGTACTTCATTAGTGCAGTTCATAGTGCAGTTCATTTGAAGGTGTTTTAACCCTCACCGTTTTGCTCTTATGCTTTCGTTAAAGGTATGCACATGGCTTTTTAAGCTGATTTATTCATAGCATATTAATGCATAGTTGCCAACTGTCATGGATTGCCGGGGAAAGTCACAGATTTTAACCACTTCCCAGATGGCAGTGCAGGGGCGGGTAGCCGTTTTAAATGGCGATCCGGTGCCCGCTGTGTCCTTTAAAGTGTCCTTTATTTTTTCAATAAACATACTACACTATGAGAAACATATCCTTCTGATTTATGATGATCTTGGATTATGGAGTAAATTGGGAGAATATTGAGAGTATATCCATTGATGTTCCAAAGCTTTGGGGAAACTAAGCGCATTAGACCTTCTTTTAATTAAGAGGTCATGGATGGTTGGTGAATGCAATGTATTGGCATACGGTAGTGGAACACAGAGGATTTGCATGAAGCAACCTATTGGGCACTAGAAGATTATGCACTGTTTCTGATCCAGAATTTGATGTGGGACTTTTGTTTTTGGACTTGCTGATCTATAACACTTTATGTTTTTGTATGTTTATATTACAGCTGGAATATTGTTTGTTTAGCATGTATGTGTAGTGCCATACCTTACTTTAATATTTTACTGGCACATACAGTGAGGAACAGAAGTATTTGAACACCCTGCGATTTTGCAAGTTCTCCCACTTAGAAATCATGGAGGGGTCTGAAATTTACATTGTAGGTGCATTCCCTTTCTCAGAGACAGAATTTAAAAAAAAAATCAGGAAATCACATTGTATGATTTTTAAAGAATTTATTTGTCTTGCACTGCTGACGATAAGTATTTAAACAGCTGAGAAAATCAGTGTTAATATTTGGTACAGAAGCCTTTGTTTGCAATTACAGAGGTCAAATGTTTCCTGTAGTTCTTGACCAGGTTTGCACACACTGCAACAGGGATTTTGGCCCACTCCTCCACACAGATCTCCTCTAGATCTGTTAGGTTTCGGGGCTGTCGCTGAGCAACATGGAGTTTCAGCTCCCTCCAAAGATGTTCTATTGGATTTAGGTCTGGAGACTGGCTAGGCCACTGCAGAACCTTGATAGGCTTCTTACGGAGCTACTCCTTGGTTATCCTGGCTGTGTGCTTCGGGTCATTGTCATGTTGGAAGACCCAGCCATGACCCATCTTCAATGCTCTGACTGAGGGAAGGAGGTTGTTGCTCAAAATCTCACAATAAATGGCCCCATTCATCCTCTCCTTAATACAGTGCAGTCGTCCTGTCCCCTTCGCAGAAAAGCACCCCCAAAGCATGATGTTACCACCCCCATGCTTCACAGTAGGGATGGTGTTCTTGGGATGCAACTCATCCTTCTTTTTCCTCCAAACACGACGAGTGAAGTTTAGACCAAAAAATTCTACTTTGGTCTCATCTGACCACATGACTTTCTCCCATGCCTTCTCTGGATCATCCAGATGGTCATTGGCAAACTTCAGACGGGTCTGGACATGTGATGACTTGAGCAGGGGAACCTTCCATGCAATGCATGATTTGAAACTGTGGTCCCAGCTCTCTTCATGTCATTGACCAGCTCCTCCCTTGTAGTTCTGGGCTGATTCCTCACCTTTCTTATCATCAGTGATACCCCGCGAGGTGAGATCTTGCATGGAGCCCCAGTCCAAGGAAGACTGACAGTCGTCTTTAACCTCTTCCATTTTCTAACAATTGGTCCAACAGTTGATCTATTTTCACCAAGCTGCTTGGCAATTGCCCTGTAGCCCTTTCCAGCCTTGTGGAGATCCACAATTTTGTCTCTGGTGTCTTTTGACAGCTCTTTGGTCTTGCCCATGGTAGTAGTTGGCATCTGACTGACTGTGGAGTGGACAGGTGTCTTTAAAGAGCTCAGACAGGTGCTACTAAGTTAGATTAATGAGTGGAGTAGAGGTTGACTTTTTAAAGGCACAGTAACAGGTCTTTGAGAGCCAGAATTCTTGCTGTTTCTTAGGTGTTCAAATACTTATGTTCAGCAGTGCAAGACAAATAAATTCTTTAAAAATCATACAATGTGATTTCCTGAATTTTTTTTTTTTAATTCTGTCTCTCAGAGTGGAAATGCACCTACAATGTGAATTTCA